AAGACATTCATGTCTTTATAGTGGAGTTTGTTGCCATCACAAACAGAAGCCAAGGTGGTCAAATAAACATGAGGGAAAAAAAGTGTTACGACGGCAGTGTTACGATGGCAGTGACACTTAAAAAAAAAAAAAAGATTACAAGAATAAAGTAATAATATTATAAGAATAAAGTCAAAATTACGAGAATAAAGTCAAAATATTTAGAGAATGAAGTTAAAATTACGAGAATAAAGTCGTAGCAATACAAGAATAAATTCAAAATATTTTGAGAATAAAGCCAAAATGACATGAATTGTCATAGCAATTATGAGATTAAAGTTAAAGTTTGTTGCTTTGCAACCTGAAATGAAGATGGACACAGTTTTTGTTTTATCCAGCTTTATTTACTCAGTGCAACTTATAACATCCAAGTGAAAGATATAACACCAATCACTGAGTTGGGGAGTTTCCACTCGATAGAAATCGCGGTCCGGGGGCACCTAGATCGAGTCAAAAGGGCACCACCCGTTCATGCCACTGATGGCTCTTAAGCTAGCTGAGAACAGATTACATAGCTCCGATCATGTGAACTGAAGTGTCGAGGTAAACTGTACAATCCACACAGCACCACTATTTACCATGCAGTTACTAACACTGTAGAAATATGGAATTCTGATATTTATTATTAATGTCATTATCAGTATAAGCATAATTAAATAATGGGTAATATAAAGGCAATAAGTCACTTTTATAGAGTCTGTTTGAGTTTCAATTCAGTTCACTTATTTGTATAGTGCTTTTCACAATACACATCGCGGCAAAGCAGCGTCACAGAAAATGAAAGTTTCTACATTACATTAGGGAGTAGTTTATCAGTCTTGACTATGTCAAGGTGATGTCCATGTGGTGAACTAGCTGAGAACAGATTACATAGCTCCGATCATGTGAACTGAAGTGTTGAGGTAAACTGTACAATCCACACAGCACCACTATTTACCATGCAGTTACTAACACTGTAGAAATATGGAATTCTGATATTTATTATTAATGGCATTATCAGTATAAGTATAATTAAATAATGGGTAATATAAAGGCAATAAGTCACTTTTATAGAGTTTGTTTGAGTTTCAATTCAGTTCACTTATTTGTATAGTGCTTTTCACAATACACATCGCGGCAAAGCAGCGTCACAGAAAATGAAAGTTTCTACATTACATTAGGGAGTAGTTTATCAGTCTTGACTATGTCAAGGTGATGTCCATGTGGTGATGTTCTTCTTCTTCTTCTTTGTTTTGTTGTTATAGAAACCATAAAACCATGGTAATGAGGAGCCTGATTCATTATATTACTAATACTATACAGTTAACTCTGGATTCAAGAATTGCAGTAGCATTCCATTAGGGCAACAGAATTTAATAGTTCTAATAAACTTTAATTGAAGTAAAATATTAATTCAATAATTAAGAGCCTGTAATATAAAGGAATATTAAGGCAGTTGTATGTGCAAAAGTTGTTGCTGTTTCTGGAATCCTGTGGTGTTAATGCATGTATGATTTTTGTATCCAGGAATATATAGTATGCATATATTAATTGTATCGCAGCTTGATTTTATTTATTTTTTGTACATTTTTAAAAAACTGTTCCTAGTAGAAAACATTGTGGCACCAAGATAGGCTACTATAAAGGGGGGCCCATGGATGTGCTATAGCCCCAGGGCCCTATGTGTGCTTAATCTTTAAAATTGTTTTTTTTTTTTACTTTATTCTCATACTATGACTTTAATCTCATAATGCTACGCCTTTATTCTCAAAATATTATGACTTTAATCTCATATTGCTATGACTTTATTCTCATAATTTTGATTTTATTCTCAAAAAAATGTAGACTTTAATCTCGTAATTTTACACTTATTTTACATGGCACTAAAACGCATTTGTAGTGTGTTTGCAATCATGTATGCTGTAATTTATTATCGGTTATAATATTTGACCAGTTTTTCCTTCAAAAATTAAGCAAAGTTTGATTAAAGTAATCTTTCCCTGTGGCACTGAACAATATAGAAGGACGCAATTGACTGCCTTTATGAGTGAGTCATTTGAATCATTCACTGAACCGATTTGTTCATACTCGAATCGTTCAAGACATAGCACTTGAAGAAGTTTGAGTAAAATAAAGACGTTGAAAACATGTTGAGGCTCCAGCGTTTATATTGAGTTTAATTAGTCTCAGGTGTATGTATGGTAATTTGTTGTACTTATTTACAGAACTATATGTCATCGTCATACCTCAAACAAGGTATATAAACAAATATGTTGTGCTCAAAGAATAGAGAGCAAATGCACACTGTGTAGAAACTCAGTCAATCGACTCAACTTACGCGTTGAGTTCCGATTAAGCGAGTCATTAGATGTGTCCTAAATTGCATACTTATGCATAATTCTATAATCCAACATTTTCTAGGATAATAGTGTGAGTAGTGTGTTCACACTGAAAATTCCAAAAAGAAAAAGTGCACTTTAAATACCCGGATGATGCACTTAAATAACGGGAAAAAGGTGCGGAATATTAGCTGTGTCTCATTTCACGAGGCTGCATCCTCCAGAGGTCGCATTTGAAGGCTGCCTTCGTCATCGGGGCAGTCTCATTTAAGAAAAGTAACAGTTACATTGCAAAGTAAAAAGGAAATTACAGTATTTTACACCTTACAAGGAATAACAGTCAATTTTATTATGGTTACTTTTCTTAAATAAACTTAACTGTCACAGCTTTAATTATAGCGAAGGGGGAGGGGCTGCAAGACTCCGTTTATGAATGGCAAAACGTGCGTCGCAAATTTGCTTACTTGTGCACTATTCTAATACGTTTTATAGTATAAATAGTGCGAGTAGTGTGTTCACACTGAAAATCCTGAAAAGAAAAAGTGCACTTTAATTACCCGGATGATGCACTTAACCAAAAATACAAAGTGTGGAATGTTGGACACTTCATTATGTACTGAAGGGGGAGGGGCTATCAGACTCCGATTATGAATGACAAAATAATCTATTCATATACTACATGGTTGAGTACATAGTGCATAAGTATATAGTGTACTGTATATTGTATAGTGTGTCATTTGGGACGCAGTAAAAATAACCTTATATAATTCATACACTACATGGTCGAGTAGGCTACATAGTGCATAAGTACATAGTGTATAATGCATAGTGTATTGCGTCATTTGGGACGCAGCCATTGAATTGAACACTGATTCATTCAGAGACTCCACTACTTTGTGTTGCTAGGATACACGCAACGGTCAATTGTGCTGACTCTTCCGTTAACATTTCTTCAAAGGCGCGAAAATAGAGAGGGTAACTGGCAATATGGTGTACAAAATGTAAGTTGCATATCTTAATTTTTACTGAACTGTTATAAGAACAGCACAATCATTCTTAACTGCATCTTATAACTTGAAGTTGATATCTAGCCAACTCTATCGGTCACTTATCTTCGGAGTTTAGACAGGCCTGTTATACCTTTTCGCAATCTCTGAGAGTTGTGTTCCTTAAAAAAAAAAAAAAAGGCCCCTATGTACAGTATGTTATGGGTTTACCATCCCAAATATATATTTACTGTCTTCCCAGGAAAGAATTCTAGTGCCACTGTCTCATAGCTCATGATCACTGACTGACTCGGTGTGTTTTTAGCGAGTTCTGACGACCTCCTCCTCGAAGAGATGTGCAGGTGCCTCAGACAGATTTATAAAAAGTGAGAAAAAAAAAGTGAAATGACATGTGGCCAAGTATGGTGACCCATACTCGGAATTAGTGCTCTGCATTTAACCCATCCAAAGTGCACACACACAGCAGTGAACACACACACCCGGAGCAGTGGGCAGCCATTTTTGCTGCAGCGCCCAGGGAGCAGTTGGAGGTTCAGTGCCTTGCTCAAGGGCACTTTAGTCATGGTATTGAAGTTGGGAGAGAGCGCTGTACATTCACTCCCCCCACCTACAATCCCTGCCAGTACAAGAGTTGAACCCACAACCTTTGGGTTATAAGTCTGACTCTCTAACCATTAGGCCACGACTTCCATTTAAACAATTTATAGCTGTAATCATCCATGAAAATGCTCCTGGAGGTAAAACCACACAATATCTCCAGTGCTGAGTACTGTGCCTAACTGAGTGATGAATTAATATTCTGTGAGTGAGTGAGTTTGCGTATGCATGTGTGAATTTCACAAATACAGTGCGTTATGGACAAGACAATAAGTAAACAGCGCCCCCTAGAGTGAGCTACAAAAACATGTAAACCTTCAGCTCCAATGGGAAATAATACTGGTGGCGAGATAGATTGAGGAGAAAGTTTGTTTGATTGTCACTCTGGAGATTGGATTTTGTTGGATGAAAAATCACGCTCCATGTCACACTAATTAATGTCAGCAATGTAATTAACCTTCAAATGTGTGTGGTAGACCTTAAAGGAATATTCCAGGTTAATTACAAGTTACCTCAAAATATTATTTCAACTCATCTCACAGTTATAAATAAAAGTATACAGATAGATATGCATTTACAAAGTCTTTGACGCAAACAGATATTCAGATGTTAATATTTTAATGAAATAGCTTACAATCCCAGTAACACTGTTGCGTTTAATTGCTTGATTACAGAAACATTTTAATACATTTAACAAATCATAAATGGTCAAATCAACTCAGTGACAGTGTAAACAAAATGGCATTTTAGCAATCAGATGGTGAACTGTTGTTATAGATACCGAAAAGCCACACATTATCATATAGAAAGCCACTGATATATAAAACATACAGTGAAATACTGTATAAAGCACAGCACCAATGTTTAGTTAAACTGTAAGATACTGTAATCAGTTCCAGATATAATAGGCAAAATAAATGCAACATCATGCATTTAATGTATGTTAAAATATTGTACATGTATATATGTAATATATATAGTAATGTATGTATATAATAATGCATAATTGTGTATTGTAGAACTTAATTACTGAAAAAATAATACTGAGGACTTTTTCAACATTTATGTGTTGATTTTGGCATGAAATATAGGCCTAATTCTGAGAGTTCTACACTCTTATTAGTTTTACAGTGATATTAGTATCTAATTTGCAACAAAACAAAAAAAATGTTTGAGAAATGTGTAGATATTTGCACGGTCAGTTTCTACATAAATCAAAAGAGCTTTCAAGTTATACAGGCACAGATTCCATGGTCTTAATTTTTGACTTATAATTTGAAAAAGTTCTATTTCTCAGTTCTCATTGAGTTTACCATAGTAACTAAACAGATGGGATAGGGTTCTCAGTAATGGGATGTTTCTGAATACAGTTGGTAATTGCTTTATTGTCCTCTAGTGGCATATACAGGTACTACATATTACATTAGAATAGCGCAATGTATATGTGTGCGTGTTTACAGAAGCTCACAACAAACTCCTACCATTTAACAAGAACTGCAGATAAAGAGAGAACGAAAAACGAGTATTTCAGTGTGTTTGGTGACTAGACTGGTTATCTGGGAAATTTTAAAGCCTTAGTTCAAACTCATTATTCCAGACTGTTTCAGAATCCGTTTTATCTTTCAAAACCAAACTGAGCAAGGTCTGTTTACACAGGCAAATCCGATCTCAATTCAGATCTCCTGCTGTAATTTTTACATATGTGAACATATGCCCCAGAGGTTAGAAATTAGCCCGTTACTTCTCATGTCCGTTGATGTTCTCAGGTACCAGACCCTCCATCACAGCTTGCTGAGACTCGAGAATCTGGATCCAGACAAAGCAGATGAACAAAGAGGTATAGCCTAAAGCTAACACAGAGGTACATGTATGTATTTGTGGAAACTCACCTGGAAAGTCGGACTAAAGGCAATGAGGGTTTGCATGTTGGTGCTGTAATAGCCAAGAACATAATCCCCTGCCAGCAAGGGGAGCTCATTTTTACTCATCTGGACCTTAAACAGGAAGTGCACACTCATGTTAGTCCTTGTGTAACAACTTGTTAGTGCCATGCAGTTTAAATGCATTCATTTTAGATGAGTGTAAAAGTAAAGTAATATAAAATTCTATTATTGGCATTATTTTCTCAATGCAGACCTGTTCTCAACACTAAAACTTTTAGTCTGCCATACCGTCACGACTTCGCCGTTGGCAGCCACTTCATCATCTTTGACCCAAGCGAAGGTGGAGTAATCGGAGGCACTTTTGAAGCCAATCTGCACACAGAGATATAAATCACCACTAGTTAGTGACCCGCTTTGTGATACAGATCTCCTTTTTGTCTCTTTCTGTGTTTTTGTTCATCCATCAACCTCTTTTTTCTCTGTTTCCGTCTCACCTTGTACAATCCGATCCAGTCCCAGGTTGAGGACTCACAGTTTTCCAGAATGGTGTAGGTGAATGTGGCGTCTTCATCTGCACTCCAGTGTCCCTCCACGGTTAGTGTGACTAGAGCCGTCTCCTTTTTTCTCATCTGCATGAAGAGACCAAGACAGAATTTGGACTAAACGTACTCATGTACGCAGAAAGGTAGATGTGTTTAAAATTATAATTAGTAATGATTATGATGATTATTATTATTTAAGCACATTTACTTCAATTTGATCAGCTCATTGTCATGTCATCTGATTGATTAAATATTCAAGGCATACATAATTCATACCTCCAGATTGAAGGTCCCAATGACAGGTTTGTGGTCACTGACCCCATACGAGACATCACAGGTGTACATGTCCTGCGTCACCTTAATAGGATACTCATCATCGTCAGCTGATGATGTTGTCGAGCTATTCTCATCCTCAGTGTCTATAGCTTTGGGTTTTATCCTCCACAAGATACGATCCGTCCAGGCAGGCTTCCGCTTTTTACCACTAATCATTGACCCATGCAAAAAAAGAAGGAATGTAAATTATACTGAACTAATAAATGCAGAGTGAGATAATCTTCACTATATTATATAGATAGTATATATGCACACTAAAAAAGTTTGGGGTCAGTAAGTTTTTTTTTTTAATGTATACTTTTTATTAAGAGCTTAATACTAATTAGTCAGCAAGGGCCCATTAAATTAAATTAAATTGCAGTTCTTATTTGCTGTTGTTTCTATACATCAAAGAATCCAGATAAAAAATGTATTAAAGTTTTCACAAAACTGTTGAGCACAACTGTTTTCAACATTGATAATAATAAGAAATGTTTCTTGATCATTAAATCAGCATATTAGAATGATTTCTGAAGGATCATGTGACACTGAAGACTGCAGTAATGATGCTGAAAATTAATATTTGCCATCACAGACATAAATTACAGAAAATACTAATTTTAAATTATAATAATATTTCTCAATTTTACTGTTTGTACTTTATTTTTGATTATTTTGGATGCAACCCTGGTGAGCTTAAGAGTATTCTTTCAAAAACATGAAAAACCTTACCGACCCCAAACTTTGTTAGACAGACAGACAGACAGATAGATAGATAGATAGATAGATAGATAGATAGATAGATAGATAGATAGATAGATAGATAGATAGATGATAGATAGATAGATAGATAGATAGATAGATAGATAGATAGATAGATAGATAGATAGATAGATAGATAGATAGATAGATAGATAGATAGTTGTGCTGTGGTTGTATACTGAGAATTCCATGTGAAATTCCCAATTCCATGCAGACATGCAAGTGATATGCTATTTTTACCATATGAAACAGCATGCAAATGCATCAAACACCAGCATATCAGAGTGAATCATGCTTTCTACACAGTGATGAGGTGCTTAGTGTCATGTTATATGACAGGTTCAAAGCAGTTCTCCATGACAGCTGTTAAAAGCCCAATGACACACTGACAGCATTTCATGGATGTGTGGTCATGTATTAAATATGATGGAAGGGCTGGATGGACAAATGGGGTGGTTGGTGTATATATGATTTCCTGCATGTTTTTTCAGAAAACATCTATTTCACTTTTTTCACCTTGACTAGTAATCTTGAAAATAAATTCAAAGTTTGAGCTGATCTTCCCACTGGAGACACAAACTGTCTCTGCTTCCATTACAGACACAGCAAAACACAATGTCCCAACCATATTTCACTACCCATATAACAATTCAGCAAACAGGTGACAGCTAAATGTGGAAAATATCTGTGCTGAAGACACGTTTGTACACAGACACAGATTCATATACTCTGTGGTGCGGAAGACCTCCTATATTCAGCCATTTATGTTTGATGGGAAATACAATTCCATCTTACATCCTACATACCCATCTCATCTTCAAAGTAGACATGCTACAACATACATGTTTTCAAAGCTGATGGCAGCTGGCACACAGAAAAAACACCAATCACAACATTACATTTTGTAAGAAACTGTAGTCTGACCCGACCCAGATTCCACTCCACAATAGATGTTTGATCATGCTCAATTCCCAAAATGGCTCAAGAAAGTCAACAGTTATGTTGTTTCTGCACCATTTTGGATGATCACATCCTGAGCAAATGATGACCAATTGTAGAATGAGAATGGGTGTGGGACACCGAGATCCATCTCAAACAGGGCGGTATTGGAACTTTATTAACATACAGACCACAGCTGTCACAATAGGAGCATCTTCATTTACATTAAGGGTAGTAAACTGTAACTGCATAAAAGGTTGGAGTTTAGGATGTTCGGGGTTCATTCCGACTCTGTAGAACCCAAGGTACAACATGTACTTTGTCACGGCTATGCTGCAATAAACATCTTCATCGAGATCTTCAACCTCCTCATCATTTTTTCTTACAATTTGTATAGACATGACTGAAATGCTTACTGGAGCATCTGACAGGAGATTATGCAAAGATTGAACGATGAGTGAGAGGAGTGCAGTGTTTTACAGGGATGTGATGGTGAGTGCTCTGTAAGAGGAATTCTGGGTAATAAACGGGTTAAGGTAACGCCATGCAACAAACACAAAAATTCTTCTCAAATCTTACATAAAGCCAAACCATGTCTTTGGTACTCTGTGTGGAGAAAGAATGACCATGAATTTCTTCTAAGAAAACACAATAGGGATAAATTGAGATTCATTTTTTTCTCAATCAAATTGATTTCCACTTTCATGCATAAAAAATAATGCATTTGTACTGTGTTAATAATTTGTAAGTGTGTGAATGTACCTTGTGTCGTAAGTCTCCGAGAAACGGTCGAACTTATACGTGGGTTTAAAGCACAACAGTCCCTCTTCAAATTCCTGAAGAATAGCTTCTTTCTTCTTCATCATGGTCAGCTAAGAGCCAGAGATCAGTGGAATATAATAGAATAGAATAATGCATACCTGTCTCTTGTTTTCCATAAATTTTGACATTTGCATGTTGCTAAGCTAATGATGAGATACTAAGCACAAACTATTGAGTGAAATTTTTAATTCGATGAAACTAACTTCTATTAATGCACTTTTTAATTTTTCTGAATAAAACATATTTTTATAATCACCATGCTAAAAGAGCCATTGTCTTCAGAAGAGTGTGTATTTGTGCTATCTTTATTTGTGTGTTTGCCTGACCTGATCTCTGTTCCACAGCAGGTTAAAGCGGCCATTGTTGATCGAGGAGCGAAGAAAGTGCATCCCATGGTCAGCGATACGAAAGTTCAGATCACCAAACCAGAAGACTACCCTGAGATACGGAACAACAGCAATATGAGAACCATGATGCATGTGAGAATGCATGAACGTGAGTAAATTTGAGCCCAACTTAGCACTGACTTGTGGTCAAACACTTGTGGTGTGTTGTACATATCAAAGTCTTGCGTGTCCAGAATATATTCAAACTCATCCATCCGTTGCAGGGCGTAGTTCATATGAGCCGCCAGATGACAGTTCAGAAAACACAGCATGTGACCGTAGAATGAAAAACGTACAGACACACCACCTTTATTTCCCTGTGAGAATAAATAAAAATGCATTAGTCCAGCTGCATATTATTACAGTAAAGCCCCAAGTCATACTCACATATTCATACCTCTAAAAGGATAGGTTTAGGCTGAATTTATTTAGCTTATTTTAATTTATTTTTTATTTTACACAAAACATACAGATTATATACACTGCCATTTTATATTCAGCAAGGATGCATTAAATTGATCAAAATTACATTAAAGATTATGCTGTTTTCCCATCACAGGAGGATACAGTATATATATATATATATATATATATATATATATATATATATATATATATATATATATAAAAAACCATTTTAAATTGTAATAATACTTTACAATATTGCTGTTTTTACTGTATCTTTGATCAAATAAATGGCAGGCTTGATGAGCATTAGAGACTTCAAAAATCTTATAAAATCAGTCAAATAACAGTATGAACAGTAGAATAAATATGTCAGTTTTGAAGGAACATGCCATCAAATTGAAATTAGTGTATAACAGTAAGTGTCTCTGAAATGTAAAGGCTATACCATACCCAGTATCCAAATAGGCCTGTGCGAGTGTATGTACTTTGGATGTCTCTGATGAAAGGCAGGTGGACCTGCTTTGCAAACAATATCAGCAGTAAACCCTGCATCCTCACAGAAGTCACCTGAGGACAGCAAAAAAAGCCTTTTCATATGTCAAAGCTTCAGTGCATTTCTCAACACAAACGCCACACGCCACCTTTGACCTCCACATCAAAACCGACAGCATCACAGAAAGAGGATTTTAGACGGTTTCTATGCAAGAAAGCTATTATAGGCCTTATACAGTAAAAGAAAACAAAAGAGGAAACATGTATTTGAGCTTAGAATGGATAAGTGTCCTTGATACGTTGACATAAGAAAATAAGGAGATTGGTATTGGAAATTCCTGGGATTTTTTGGTGGAGTGGAATTCAGTTTTTAAAATCAGAGCTAATTAGTCATGAAAGGCAGAATGGGACGGGCTCACATCAAATCAGAGGTTATGGTACACAAATGTGCTGGTATGAAACAATGCCTCTAGTGTTTTCAATGGCCTGCAGCGAACAATGGAGCTTAACAAGCTTAATGAGGAGACGGCTCATCCTGATTTTGTCTCTCTGTTCTATTGTAACAGTTGCAACTGCATATAAACATATGTATAAGGACAGTCAATACCTCTCTGTCTTTCACACTCTCTAAACTGAGATTGCAATGCTGAGACGCACAATCAGTTTTTTATTTATTCTGTACCTTTATATATCCCATTGGTGCCAGGGTATCCATGAGAAGGTGACTCCATGAGTCCTCAGAAATTAGATCAGAGATATATCGCACTGGATTGGCATTCACTTCCTGTAGACTAGAGCACAAACACATCTGCTCATCTTATATGACAAAACAATGTAAACTTACCAATTGACAGAGAAATTCATTCTGTCTCATATATATATATAGTATAAACACGCGCACAAATTGGTGTAGGATTTACTTTGAAACAATTTTCACTCTGAAATTGATAATACATATCATAATACAGTTGAAAGAACATACTCCAGTAATTTTTGTTTCATTTACAACTTCAATATATATACTGAAGTTCAAGAACAGTTAAAGAAAGTAATACTTGTCTTTTATTGAATTGAGGATCCATTCAATTGATCAAAAGTGACAGAAAAGACTTTAACATTGTTACAAATGATTTCTGTTTCAAACAACAGTAGCACAACTGTTTTCAACATTTATAATAAGTCGTTTCCAAAGCAAACCAAATCAATATATTAAAATGATTTCTGAAGGATCATGTGACACTGGAGACTAGTAATTTTCAGTATCATGGAGTAATGATGCTGAAAATTCAGCTTTGCCATCACAGAAATAAATTACATTTTAAAATACATTAAAATAGAAAACAGTTGTAATAATGTTTAACAATTTTACTGTATTTTTGATCAAATAAATATAGCTGTGGTGAATATAAGAGGCTTCTTTTTAAAAATCTTACCAAACCCAAACTTGGTATTGTATGTATTAGTAAATTAACATGTTATTTATTTATTTATTATTTTATTTATTTTTGTGAGTATAAATCTGCTGATCATGTGATTCAGGTGATGTTAACTCACCCAATCACATAGAGGTCAGTGGCCGGCTGTGAGTCAAGCTGCAGTAATGACCTCACATCAGCTGGTGGCTCCGCTGTGCCAACATTCCATGTGACCATGTGCAGCCTGAACAAAAGAAGAAGACACAAACAGAGCAGCAATGAATCAATGAATGAATTGGGTTCATATAAACTCTGAATTTAATATCTGAGAAAAACTTTGGGGAAAGAATACGAAAAGATAATCTAAAACTAAAAATACAACGGACTTGCTAGCAAATCACCAACAAAATCCACACCTTCTATTACTCCAACACAAGTCTATCTAAAACTCATTTTCAATGACTTAGTACACCTGAAGGACTCTCTGTTGGTGTATTTTCCACAGAGGTAAAAGGCTTCGTCTAGCGTACGGGACACTTCCTCATTTGCCTCATCATCTGAGCTGAGATCTTCTAAGCAGACGAGCAACTGAGCGAGCCGCTCGCGAAGAATCATCCGTGATGAAGTAGACTGAGATGCCATGGTGGACGTACTGTCAGAGCGCACACGTGGGACATCAAATGTGTCAGACATCTTTTTGCTGTTCTCCCAAAACAACTGATAATCTGAAGCCTGATTCATCCAAACCAAGAGATCAGCAGAAGTGAGTAGATTTCTTATTTGATTCTCTATCGTATTGCTTGTGTTTTCTCAGCTTCAGAGGTCCAAAAAAGTTCAAATGTCTATAGGTGTCCAATGGTTTAGGTTCAGCAGATGCAGATATCCCAGGTTTTGTTCAAGCGACGCCTACGTGCTGTAGTTCCAAGATTCATATTTCTCCGATCTTCTCAGAAACAATTCATCATTATCCTTTGAGCCCAGAAAGCTAGCAATTGCAATAAATATAACCCTTTTTGTTGATCCACATGTTCTCATTGCATCTTGTTGCCTGAATGGACGAGTGTGTGTAAAAGCATGCGTTTTGGAGAGTGTTTGGGATTATGAAGTGTAATCTGGAGCAGTGGAGAGCCACGTGAATGAGGCCAGGAATACAAAATGCAAAAATCACTAACAGGCCTGATCTCCAAATCACTGTATGTATTGTTGCAGGTCTTTAGCAACGCAAGTAAATGTCCACAGAAGCTAATCCGCTTTATGCAAGAGCTGGCCTCAACTCTGTGAATATTTCTTGGACTCTACAAAATAAATAAATAAATAAGGTAATAATTTTGCAACCGGTGGGGGGGTGGGGAGTGTTGTTGTCTAAGTTCAAAGATCTTAAATTAAAATGTGAGAGCATAATGCCAAACTTTGTTAACAAACTCTCATATTTAAGTTAACTCTGAGAGAGCTAATTTTTACTTCCTTGGAGTTAAATGTTACTCTATCAGAGTTGAATTAACCTTCTTGCCTAACAAATTCAACTACAATATGTGAGACTGCGTTCCAGATTACTTGATGAACACATTTATCCACTGCTTTTAAATTGTGGTTATCTTATAGTATTGATGTTTGTATTATTAAAAATGTGTACATATATTATAAATATCAATTAAATATTTATTATTATACATTAAATATTTATGAACATTTGATATAAAATTATTAAATTAAATTAAAAATAATAATAAAGTCTGTTCAGTGTTCAGGTGTCGACATAAATCTTTGCAAATTTGTGCTCAACTGTACACCTTACTTTTTTCCCCCTGTTTAAACCAGGAAAATTGTACTAGGCAAACAAATACTAATAAATTAGTCTAAAATAGCAATATAATTCTCAAATGCAGGCTAACTATCTTTCCACCCCGTTGCTCTAATACAGTCACATGCAAATTCTTAGGAGCAAAGAAGCATTCAGCAGCAGTGTTGCACAAGTAAAGCGAGTTACGTAATCAGATTACTTTTTTCAAGTAACTAGTAAAGTAACGCATTACTTTTTAATTTACAAGAGAATATCTGAGTTACTTTTTCAAACTTTTTTTTTTCCAATTTATTGATTGACAGCTCTCCTGTCCCCATGTTGAGAGAAATCAGAAGATGCTACTGTAGTTCAAAATAAATATGAATATGCATTAACTCATCTCACTCACACACACAAAAAAAAACACAGATTCAGTATTCCTCAAAATGAATTAAAATAATGCAACTCAGAATATGACTCAAACCTGCAATAACTAAATGTTAAACAACACAAATATCCTTTATGTATTTAATCCCATTCTATTAACCAATGTCTTTGATTCTGACCTTCGATGATCCAGTTCAACCGTACTAATAAACATAAATAACTCTAGACAAACACTTGTGTGTCTTTTTTATTGCTGAAGTGTGTTGAAATGTCTTCTTCTGCATTCTACTGTACGGAGTCCAGACGTAAATGTACATTCCCTTCAGCCTGAGGCTTATTCATTTCACTTTTGGTATGAAAAGACTTTTATATTTGCCAAAAATATAACTTTTTAAATTTAAAAACAAACAAGCAAGCCCTGTCCAGATTTAAAAAGTAACGCAAAAGTAACGTAACGCATTACTTTCCATAAAAAGTAACTACGTACCGCAATTAGTTACTTTTTTTATGGAGTAATGCAATATTGTAATGCATTACTTTTAAAAGTAACTTTCCCCAACAATGTTCAGCAGCAGAGAGAAAGAAAAAGAGCAGGCACATAAAGGCAAAGCAACTGGTCTTGTGCCAAATTGTAAAACATTTGAGAGAAACACCAACATTCACAATTTGGTTCCATGCAAAAAGAAACAAGTCAGTAATGCTGGGCAATAAAACAGATTTAACACACTGAACTCCTTTTACTTCCTGTCCATCTCAGTTCTCTAAGCATAATTTATTTCACCTCAGTCTTGTCTATCTTTAAGTGAAGTGGGGTTAATTTCATTGATCAATGGTGTTGTTACCTGAAAGCCTGATATCCATCCCTGGATCCAACAATTTGTGCGCTCATACTCAGACCTGTGTACACAAAAACCACCTAAACAAGCATACATGGTAATGTAAACATTAATCTAATCTAAAAGATTTTTTTAAATGATAAAAAAATATCTGGAGGTTAACTGATTATTATATGTTCACTGAAAACGCTCGAGCGCAGTAGCCTACTGTTGCTATGGTTACGGGCAAAAGTGACTGTGTTCGCAATTTTTGTGCTGTACACAGCTGTAATATAACGTCTATGATTAGCCTACCGAAATGTTATTTGATAGTAAAAAGAATACTCGACATAGGCCACTTCGACTTAAAGACTTGTTCAAGGCTTGAATGGGGGGTAGTAAATGTATAAACGTTTTTTCCAAAAAGCAGAACAGTCTAATCTCTCGCTTGTATCAGTTTTATGTAACGACTTATTGTTGTTTGTCACACACCGTTCAAATGAAAACGTGGGCTATATTTAAACAGCCATCGAATAAACTTAAAATATTTAGGGATTTACAGGTTAAAATGTTCCGAAAACTTAACTAAACTCCTCTAAATTACCGTAACGAAAGCCAAATTAAATTTTGAATGAAAAATCTTACCTTTCAGTCTCGGTCTTGTGGAGACTTTACAGGTGTCTTGAATATATGTTCCGTACTTAACAGGTGCTATAGGACAGTGTGAGAGTTTGGGGTACGTGTTTACACCCCTTTACTTCTTCACTGTCCGGCCAATCCACAGAAACCTCTTAAAGCCGCAGAACTTTACTGTTTCATCATATAAACGCCTGAAAGCTTTGGCTAAGTTATGAAAGACTTGACTGTGTCTAAATCGATTTGGTATATATCGCAATCCTTTTGATTAGGGCATGAAACAGAGGGTTCTCTGTTCATTGAAAACAACTGTTTTTATATGCAACATGAATTTTAAATATTTGCCGTCTAAGTGTTTTCTGCATTGCCAGTTAATATGTTTAAAAGTTTTATAAACGATATGAAATCTGAGTTGTTGTCAGGAGCTGTTATACTTAAAATATCTTAAAAGAGTTACAAACTTATTCGACTTTATTTAAAGTCCATAAACTTGTTTTTGGACACGCCTGTGATGATAATGGTTCATGCAGACGCCGTGATTTAAGGGGCACGTTCTTGTTTTCTTTTCTTTCTGTAGGCTAATCAGTTTAAAGAAATAATAATAAACATACCAGCCTATCAAAGCTGATCTAAATGAGGACTTCTAGGACCAGAGATTAAGGGTAAATTTCACCGTCCAAAAATCCCACGGCTCTTTGCTTTCTTTAATTATCTCAGAGCTGAACGAATCGATTTTTATTGCTACGGAGTATAATTAATAAAAAATAAATAAATAAACATTTAAACATGTCACATATAGCTGTAACTGTGAAAATGAAATCCAAATGTCTGAATCAAACACATTCCCCTTTCTGAAGGCCTCATAAGAAGGGGTTAGTTAAATCTGGCTTCATCTCTTCAAATCCTGATTAGGCTGAAAGTTTCACTTAAAGGGGTCATATGATGCGATTTCAATTTTTCCTTTCTCTTTGGAGTGTTACAAGCTCTTGGTGCATTAAGAAGATCTGTAAAGTTGCAAAGACTAAAGTCTCAAATCCAAAGAGATATTCTTTATAAAAGTTAAGAGTCAACCACGCCTACCTAAAATGGCTGGTTCTAACACGCCCCCACATGTCTATGTCACTGTGTGGGAAGATTTGCATAATGCCGCCCAAAGGTTCACGCAAAGAAAGAAGGTGTAACATTTATTCTTGCTGTAGTATTGTTGTTGCCGCCGCCACCATGTCGTGAATGCGCTGTGCTTCGTTGTGAAAGCGAAACTACTTTATTCGGTCTTCCAAAAGAGGACGATATCGCTTCGTCATGCCTGGAGCTGATCCGTGCTGGTCGCTGAGGAAATACATCAACTTCGCGCTGTGGATCGCCGGATCGGCTTTCACCATGGACGAAGCAGAGTCCAGCCCGGGGTCGTCACATGTGGTTGCCGCAAGCCCGCCGCAGGCTCCTTTGTCGAATCCGCGGACCGCCACTCAAGGCGGTGTGTGACGTGGTTTTGTTGTGAAAGCGAAACTACTTAGTTTGGCCTTCCAAAAGAGTATACGGCTAGAAATCAGTGGTTAAGTTGTATTTACAACACTGTTCCAGAACAGTTCAACCCAAATATTCAGATGTGCGCAGCGCATTTTATGGAGGACTGTTTCCTGATCCTGGGAGACTAGACTACAATGCCGGCTGTTCTGACTCACAGACTGCAAGTACGTTTTTTATATTAAAGAATTTGCCACTGACGATTCAAACGCAAGTTTTTTTGAGCAGTGTAGAGTAGCACTTGTTGTTTGTCATTTCTCCGATCACAAATGCAGACATGGTTTTGTTTTACGCGGCGCGATGCGACGCAACGTGTAAAAAGACAGTATAAATCCTTATAATCCGTAATTATGTCCTCACTGGATGCAACAAATGCCTCGTTTATAATGGGTTTTAATGTTTTTGTCTCGTCGCTCCGGCCGGACAGGGCATCACAGTATGGTGAGGGGCGTAACATTTCCGTCACACGCTTGAGGTATTCGGCCAATCACAACGCACTGGATAGCTGGCCAATCAGAGCACACCTCACTTTTCAGACCAATGAGCTTTGTAAAAATCGACACGTTTCAGAAAGGCGGGGCATAGAGGAGAAACAATAATGTACAGTATGTGGAAAATAATGTGTTTTTTTAACCTTAAACCGCATAAACACATTTCATTACACCAAATACACAAAATAATGTTCTTTTTAGCAACATCATATGACCC